AACAGTGAGATTTTACGGGGGGGTAGTACGGACCCGACCAAAACCTCCAACCAATTGTTTGCTTGCTCTGGAAGAGAACTAGGAGGGGGTCGTATCATGCTATCCGTTACGGGGGGGGGGGATTGGTCGAACTCGATCGAAATCCCCTAAGTTAAATTCTTGGGGATGAACGGTGGGTTCCGAAGAGGGTCGCACGAAGAGAAAATTTGGGGTACGGACAGCCAGCAAAAGTCTGCTCAACGCCAGAACATGCCCTGGTTAAGGCTATGCGTAACGGATAGCGCACTCGCCGAGGAAGCGTGATGACCGTGTTCGAGTCCTGGGTATGAAGACTTTCGCCCATAACTGAATGCCGATTCTTGAGACGAATCAATCACTAGCAAAACTTGCTTTTCATTGCCGTTAGAAACAGGGTTTACTAGGTCCTAAAGTATTTTCCTTATTTTGAAAAGCTCAAAAGCTGTTGAAACTTGGACGAACTATGAGCAAAAGTATTGGGTCGGCCCTAAGTAATGGCGTTTTTCCCCCTCGAAATATCGCCCTAAAGATGAAAAAGTTTTGAGATTGAGAACATTTAGGATTTTTTTATTGCCTAAGGGGATCAGATCCTGGATAGACACCCGCCCAAGCCAACCAGGCTTTCTACCCGCCGGGGACGTCAAATTGGTACCAGATTCAACTGGAAGAATAAGGCACATCACCTGGCCTCCGCAATTCATTGTGTAGGCCACATCGCATCCAGTCAGCCACTATGAAGTAGAATGCGTGGCGCGTCCCAAAAAAGGATTCTTCAAGGCTTTCTCCTTTTTTCTTTTTACGACCATATAGGACACTGGTACTGTAATCAAAAAAGAGCTAAAATAGAAAGTGATGAGAAAACTAAAACGGTCAGCTAATCTAGTGATTAACCGTCAATAATGACTGATAATCTTTTTCAATAGTAGAAATTTCTTTTCAGTTGATAAGAAAGGACTTCACCAGTGAAAAGACATATTTTCAGATGCTCTGGTCAAACGTTGCCCCACATTTCCAAGGCGTTACATTCGGTGAACGAATCGTTTCCGGAAAAAGTCAGCATTTGGGATTGCCATATCACGATTATCCCATCGGATATGTTCGATCAAGTGAGTAAATGCATTCTCTTTCGACTTATTCGCAAAAAAGGTTGAAATTCTTGAGAGTAATCGCGAAAAAATCTACCCAAATGAGCTTGTAGGCAAGTTCTGATTAGGAACGGGAAAAAACAGATCCTGCTTGAAAGCACATTCTAGGCCCAATTCGGCAACGGGGGGGGGCATTTTGCACTTCCGCTGCTACGGTACTTTCGGTATACAAGTCTCACTCTGAACCTGTGAACTCTTGTGAAGCTGGAGCAAGGCCGTCGAGTTGTCATGGTGAAACCTGCCAACTCTTGTAA